TAGACTAAGTTTACCATTATTTTGGATACTGTCAAATATTTATAGTTAATGAGCTTAATATAAAATAAATTATTTTAAATTGATTTAATTGAGAAAGTAAGTAAGTCCAATAGATCTTTGTACACTCAGATTATAGAAGCTTTTTTCAATTGCGGTTTAGACTGTGCTTAACTTGTGAAACATATTATTGTCGTGACTAGAGTAAGGATTAATACATTAATTAATAGCCACCTTTAAGTATTATATTTGAAATGAAATTTCTAATTAAATCTTGACATAATATTTACTACAGTATCTGCAGTTAAATATTAATCATTTATTTTGTGATGGTATAAAGGTTTTGTTTAAAGCAATCCGTTTAGTTTTTGTATTTAAATAAGAAACTAAGTACACCTTCTGAAAAGTAATCTTATCTCTGACTTTAATAATGTAAATAATAATGAATTATGAAAATAAGTACATATTCTTTAATTATAATAATTTAATATTATTTAAATTTAATAAAAATTTTAAGCATATAATTATATATTTCTAGCCATCACTGTAAAATAAACAAATTTTTTATTGTACTTTTAAATGAATAAAGTAATAAGCATTGATTAACTTATTCTATTAAAAATATATTAAGCGAATATTAAATTTAAATTAAATTAATTTAAAAAATAAGAGAAATTACCACTCGAACACCTTCCATAATAAATTTAATTTAATTTGCATTTTTTTTTATATCAACAGAAAATCTCATTAAAAATTCATATGCAAATTTCGTCCAGCCTCTTTCATATACCAGCGTCCGTCTCGTCCCATATTTCTATGCCCCCCCGTATCAATCAATTGCCTTTCAGTTGCTCACACATTCTACATTTGAATTCAACATATTTTGTCAATGCACGTATCTCACTAATCCCACTCCTTGCTGCCCTTTACACTAAGCCGAAGGACAAAACTAAAAAAGGTGCTGTCGCTGCCACTGCCACTGCCATAGCCACAGCCAATACAAAAGCAACAAATGCAAAAACAAAAACAAACACAAACATACATTTAAACAATTACTTGTGCTTTGTCAATGAGATTTGTCTATGAAATTTGAATTGCGTTCAACGTCCACAATCAACAATTCAATGTAATCCTTGAGCTCTTGAGCTGAGTTGAGCTGAGCTGAGGTGATTCCTTTTTTTCTTCAATTTTTAAATCCAATTTGTAATTCCAATTTTAATTTTAAATACTAAATAAGGATTTACAAAAGCACAAGCATGATGTGTGCATTAAATTGCAGACGAGGTTACTACGGTCCAAGAAGACAATGGAAAGAAATTGAAGGATAACTGATTGCAGTTTGCAGTTTGCTAACAAGTAGACCAAAGGACACACAATTAAATTTAAATTAATTCATTTTTTTATGTGTACAAGGCTGTTATACCTTATTTTGTCGAACCGAACAATATGTAATTACAATTAATTTCATTTTATTTATTAATTAAATATATTTTTAAGGATAAGACTTAAGTGACTACTATCAGGAACTAAATCAAATTTTCTTGAAAAAGGATTGTGTTGTGTGGTTTAGTGGATGAATGCATTTTAGTAATTTTATACATAAAAAATGTCAATTATAGAAAAATACAGTTCAAGGCAATATTGTCACAATTTTTGTATTATGCATTCATAAAAGTGTGAACTTTAGTGCTAGAGGACTTAGTGATGATTAAGTAACAAGAAGATGATCTCTTCCCAATATCATTTCTATTATTATATTGAGACTAGTTGTGTCAGTGCACTTGAGCGCTTTTACTCTCTATTAACTGCGAGGTTCTTCATAACTCCTCTCTACGCCTTGACTGTATTATTGTTTATCATTTCATCAGACTAAGTAGTAACTGACCTCAGGTCTGCATACCTCTCCGAGGAGTCTGTAACCATTCTGAGAGTCGATAACGCAGTGTTGGTAAGGCTGTCCGTTTTCGTAAATAATTTCAGGGTTCTATCATTTCTAATTATCGCTTTGATAATATAGACTTATTTTCCTATTTGCATATAGATTTTTTTTTGTAAATTATAACACACTAATTCGTGTAATAAAATGACTTCAAAGAATCTTTCTATTCTTCCTTCATTCGCCTACGCGGTCCCAATATACGTTTTGTATGACCATTATACGTTGGAATTCCCACACAATTTTGAGAGAAAACTCCTTTTTCACTGTGTTAACTAGACAGTCGAATCCCTTACTCTACCGCTTGGGTTAAAAGACTGAATGAGTAGCTGTTGTCTTATGTTCGCAGATATCTAACTTGTTGCCTTTATCTCCCTTCTGGTATTCTACCAGAATACCATCAAAGAACTTCTCACTTAGCTTCTACAAGCTCTTTTCCACTCCCAAGCATCCCCACTTATTTGCTCTCTATTTTAATAAAAAGTATTTTTCTTCTTTCTCATTCTTGTTGATTAATCGCGAATATAGCCAAGCATTTCATAAAGTATATAAAAAATTTGAAAATCGAAAATACAAAGTTCGTTTCTTTCCATTCATGATTACTCGAATGTGATTCAGGCAGAAGTCATTTCAGATCCGATGTCTAGGGTTTTTTCAAGTCATTCCTAAAAAGTGGTTTTAGTGGGTTCAACTCACACACTATGGCTGTCGATGCTCTCCACCAACGACTATAATAAGAATAATAATTAAGATATTCCAATCCATTTATTAAAGTTTATGTAGCGATATTTCTAAATGCTGGTGCAATTTAGGGAGTTATACCCCATAGAAATGCTTGGGTGCTATAAAATATGTTCCAAAACAGCTATTTTCTTCTCGTTAAATTCGTTGTTTATATGTATCTAAGTACTACAGATATGAAATAAAAATGGTAAATAGACTCTAGGCACGAATAATCTATTATGGACTTGAATTTATTTATGTTTTGCTTACTATTATTATCATCAAAGACCAGGCAGCACTGCGACCTAATTAGATCTATTTTCTTACTACTATATTCTTACTATAGTAAGAATAAGAGTAGAATAAAAATAAAAAAAGAATAAGAATATAGTAAGAATAGAATAGTGTACTATACAGAATAAAAAACGATTAACTCTAAAACAAACCTAATCTTCATTGAATCATTTATATATATTATATGGACATATAATATATATAATATTGATTTGATCTATTTTAACACATAACCTCAAAATAGATTTTCTTTGTAATACTCTTATACTAATCTCTTCAACACCTATTTCCATAAGTCCCAACACAGATAGAGATTATACAAGTCATGCAAATTCATTTTTATAATATAATTATTTTTATATACTATAATTATAATTATAACGTCACTCTCTTCTGAAGTTAAGTTTCAGTTTAGACAAATTAAAACAAATCTAATTTTTTTTTTTTTTGGTAATTTAATTAAAATTTATATTTTATCTACACACAAACATTATAATCGATTTAAAACATTTCTATATATTATTTTATTTTTAACATTTAATAAATACACATTACACTTTGTTTTTGCTATTTTAGAGATAAAGTTTTTTCTGGTATATCCGAGGAATATCCAATTTTGATTTTAATTTTTAACATCAAGAAAATTATAAGTATTTTATTTATATCATTTTTAAATACTTTTAATATTAATAATTGATATTCTAAAATTCATCGACGGAGTAACTACAAAAAATACATTTCTTTTGTTTTAGTATTGCATATTTTTCTCAGTGTACTTGAAAGATTCGTTTTATAGACAAATTTAATTGAGAAAATTTTATTAAAATTTAAATAAATTTATATTAACTAATCTATTTTAATTTGATTCTTTATATCAAAAATTAATTGAATTAATTTCATTAAAACACATTGCCGAGTAATGCTGTGTAATCTAAAGGACTTTGGCGCTTTGCTTTTCCTGAATTTCATTCCTTAAGAAATTTTTTTTAGTCAAATTTAGTCGAAAAAATAAATTATAACAAAAAGTTAAGATCGTTAAAATGAGGTTTTGCCAAAAATAAAGTTTCCTGGAGCATTGACATCCTCTGATGAAAAATATTCCTTCCAGAGTGCAGCAAATTGTTCACGAGTAACTTCGGCTTTTCCCTTTTAAAAAAAATAAAAATGTTTGTTTAGAACGAATGGTGAGTTTCAAAAATTAGATAGATCTAAGAAAATTACATACTTGTGACATTTTATTGAATGCCTCTTCACATTCTTTCTTCTCCAAACCATAACTGGAACAGACTAAAGCAAATTCTTGTGCATCAATGCTGCCATCAGTGGATGCATCTTCCAGATCAAACATGAAATTCATGTATTTGGTCTGCCATTCCAGCACAGTACTAGGATCCTTCGCATAAGCATCCCACATATTACACCATTCATCGACTGAAACCTGTTAAGCAATGGAGTATCCAATTAGTATTTCAATAATTTACCAAATGATAGCTTGAAGCGACTTTTAAAGGTCCTACCCTAAATGTCTGAAAACAATTTGCGGCTATAAATTCTCTGTAAATACTTCGGCATAATTTTCACTCCTCAAAACTTTTATTATCCCCACCACAAAAACTATTAGCAGAATTTATGAGAACACCGCAATTGGTCTATTAAACGTTCAGTTTGGAGGCTTCATAATTTATGAACCCGAAGTGAAAGTTCAGGGCTTTATTTCGAACCATTAAAGAACATTAAAATTTTGTACATACAATTTTTCCATTTTTCCATTTTGCCTGGTCAAACTGTGGTAACTAAAGATATAAATTATGAAAATTTTGTTGGCACGATTTGGCAGCCAATATTTTTACCAGCTAAACAATAAAATCGAGCGTCAGGACAAGCAAGGCAAGGACCAAACCCAAGTACAAGAGGGTCAGCGTGTAATGTGGCCGGTAAGGCCGGTAAGGTGAATTCTCAGCCAATTTATGCAGAAAAAACGCCCAAACTTTCTCAAATAAGCGCAGCAGGAGTTAACTGTGTCGATGTTGTTGATGTGGGCTAATAAAATAATTATGTCCCTACAAAAAAACAATCACGAAAATAATAATAAAAAGATGCTTCCCTTCAGTACACAATAAATACCCATTGAAGTCTTTGTGAGCCAGTAAGCAATTCATGGCATTCGGGTCAAAACACTTATTTACACAAGATGATTTCGGGCATCCATAAATTTATTCACACAATATTTTGGAGGTACCCTACCTCCCTACCTGGAGGTAACAGAGAAATAGAAAAAACTGGTCAACGTCAAATAATTTTTTATACTTTCTATAACTTACAACTAGTGCTTCTATTGTTTCTTTTTATTATACGTAACTAACCTTTTGTCACCTGATTTTACACGTAGCGCTTTTATACTAGTTTTGAAATTCGAAAAAAAAAAACTAGATATAACCAGAATAAAAAATGGCAAAAAAGTATACTTCAGCAGATAATATAAAGTAGTTAAAGATGTGCCATCAATATGTGTTGAAACATATCATAAAAATTATAATTTTTCAGCTTCAGTTTCTAAAAATAAAACCAGTGTTAGTTTCTGACATAAATGAATGATGAAGTCCTGGTGGTATCAGTTGAATTTTGAAATTGAAACCCTGACATTAAAATGGGCCATTATATGAGCTCAAGTGGACTTTGATGTACAAGGCTGCTTTTTAAATCTAACCTAACATTATGAAAGATAACTGAATGTTGGCTATGAATGTATCAAGAACATTCTTCCTAAATATTTATCAAGGTATTATATTATGATAAAAAGTAGACACATTGATTAATGACCGTCTCCCATAAATATATGCGAAAGACAACTGTGTAAAACAGGCTTATTAAAAAAAATGAGCTTAAGTGGCCCTTGATGAAAATGTCCGCCACTTCGTTTTTGTCTTTTTTAACTTAATGTTTTTTGAAAGGTATGTGGTCGTAAATCGGCAAAAAATCTAAGCGATTTGTGATCGGCGCAACGATATCTGCTGCCACTGTAACCAACTAACCAATCAACCACCATCACGGACGCCCATCTCCTTTATAAACGAAAATATTGACCCTATCTGTAGCAGAAATACGACGTTACAAAGAAATATATTGACTGGTTACCAATCAACTACCATCACGGACCACCATCTCCTTTATAAACGAATATATTGGCTCTATCTGAAGCAGAAATACGACAATGCGAAGAAATATCTAAACTAGTATTAACCGATGCAACAAACCAATGGGCGACTTATAAGCACAGGATGAAGACTAGTGTCAAATGAAGTGAGAACTGGTGATATGTCGTGACATAGTATCAAAAGACGTACTATAAATAAGTTTAGGATTAATAATTATGTTGGGAGAAAATATTTTTCTAAGAAATTAAAGCCAATGATAACAATAATAGGTCGGGAGATAGTGACAACTAAATACTAGGAACCGCAGTAGCCTCAGTAACCAGCAGCAAGTTTATTCAAAAACTTTATTATTTTGACCTTATAGAACTGAACAAGCTTGCCTTAATACACTTATGGTAGACTACACTTCGATATATCACCAAACTAGTGGACAGCGCAGATTGTATTGGATTAACCAGTATTATTTACAGTAGCAAAACCAACTTTGTACCGCTGCCAAATTTTAAATTATGAAACTAAAAGTTTTGAAACTCGATGGCCACTTCAACTAAAAAACAAAAACACTGCAAAACATATGAAAACCATACAAAGCAACTGTGTTGTACACTGTAAAAATTGACCCACTTGAATGTATGCGGAAGTAAACAAACAAGAAGAAAAAAATTTGTTTAAAATAAATTTATACGCCATGAGCGTTACGCGTAAATGGATCATTTGCAAAAAATAAAATCACTTTCGCAATCTGCAATGGGCACAGGCACAGTTACAGACCCAGGCCCAGATCTATTCGAAGTTGGAGGCGAAAAAACGCTATATTTCACAAGTCAAATGCGAAACGAAATGCCAGAAAACAATTGTTTTATACACACACACACATATATACATTTGAGAAAAGCTTAGCTTAAGAACAAAAACAATTATCCAATGTGTGCGTGTGTGTACAAGTTTTTTGCTATGTAATAGCAAACAGCGGGTGAACCACTACGCAAAGCAGCAGCAGCACAAATATGCATTGCAGTGTTAAGAAGTGTACCTTGTTTACAAAAACAACAACGCAACACAAAAATGATAGCGATGAAGAAGCAGCACATGGAAAAATTTTACCAAACATGCCTTTTGACACTTTTCTGGCCTTTTGCCAAAGGTACGAGTAGGTGTCATTGTGTTGTTGTTGTTGATATTATACTACCACTACACGTAGCCTGTGTGTTATGCTTGTGTTGAGTGTTGATGCTGCTACTGTTGGTCTTTTTGGTCTTGTTGGTCGTCCAGAACGTGCTGGTCTTGCTGTTGTTAATGCGGTTGCCATTGTGGCATGCACGTGTGTATGTGTGTATGTGTGTACGTGTGTCCTTTATGCAAAAACATATACATTTGCTATTTACTATTTGCTCGCTGTTGGCTCACGCGTCCTTTTCGTTAGCTCGGTATGTGTTGCTTATGTTAAACATGCCACAACATGAATCAACATAATTCCTTAATGGTTTGGGTGGTACAAAAATTAAAATTAAAATGGGCCAAGCAAAAAATTCATAATAAATACTTTTGTACATGTTGAGATTTTAATTTGTCGATTTTTTATTGTTGCTATAATTGCTTGTGTTATTGTGCTGCTGTGTGTCTGTATCTCTATTTGTATCTGTGTATCTGAGTATCTACGTTGTTGTTGTTGGATGCATTGTTGTGTCACGAAATGTGAAATGAGATGAGTCGCAATGTAATGAATAAACTGATTCCGTACACAATTGCCGACTTAAGTGAAATAAATTACAGATGCAGCTTCAGTGGATCTGCTCATGTAAGCACGCGAACAATCATCTTAATTTAATTTATAAACCGAAAATGTAAAAATGAATGAAAAAGAAGTGAAATATGCTGATAGGTATATATAGTATTCATAAAATTCATGAATTTATGCTTATCTATCCACTGTAAAAGTCTCATAAGAGATTTTAAAAACATAAATATTTATGGAACGAAGGTTGAAAATGCGATATTTTTAAACATAAAATGCAAAAGTCATTGGCGAATTTAATAAAGTGCGATAGGATCTGTGTATATAATAAGCACAATAAAAAAATTTTTTAATAAGTCAGGTTATCTATTAAAATATTTATTTTACAATTTGCTGAATAAAAAAGGTTATACTTTATTGAACCCATAAGATATTTTCATAATTTTAGTGCATTTTCACAAAAAATTTTAAATTTTTCGTAGGCTCATTTTTTTAAATAAGTTAAATTTTTCAAGCTATATGTATACATATTTGCTTTTATTTCTAATAGATTTTTTTTAATAGATTTTTTTTAATAGATTTAATAATTCTTTAAAAATGCTGTTTAAATTGAATGATATTTTTCTATTGTAGTTTTGATAAACTGTTTTTATGTTAGTAAATGAAAACTAATTAATTTATAAAAACAAATTGTATTATTATATTCTTATATTCCATGTTTTTTATTTTTCTGGTAATGTTAACTGGCACTTTGGGCGTTTATTTTATGGCACAATATTTTATTTTCCTCCATTTTTTTAGTTCTGTTAGCTGGCACTTTGGTTTTTCTTAGCATAAATATATGTATTTAAGTGAAGTATATGCATTTAGTTACTTGCCTGAATGAAATGAGGTGCTAAGTTCGTACTCATTTTTTAATTCTGCTCCATTGAAACTAAGAGATAATTATATTTGCGTGTTGTAAGGTCATTCTTAATAATTGACTTAATTTAATAAAAGTTACTGTTGATTATTATATTATTATTAGACTCAACTATAAGAACTTTTTTATACTTTCTTATGGGATAAAGTAAAATTGTGGATGCAATGAGAATTAATTTAAGAAAAATATTTAATACTTTTTGAGTTTCAGATAATATAATGTTTTATATTAAAATTGAAATTAATAAAAGAACAAATCAGAAATAAATTTGTTGCAAATATTCAAGTTTTATACTTAAGTCTACTGTTTAAATAAAAAACAATCAATTTAAAAATAATATTACTTAGTAATATTTAAATAATAGTAAAAGCCAGTCTTGTTTATATAATGAATAATATATAAAAAGTTTTAAATAAATATTTTAAATAATTTTAAAAAATTTATTTTATTGTCTAATATTTCGACTATAGTTTACAGTCATCAGTACCTTGAAGAGCTTTTTAAATTATTTAAAAAAATATTGATCTCATAGAAATATATTTCTTAAAATAATTTAAAAAGTTGTAATTAGTTTTCTATAAATCCCTTTAATTATTATTAAATATTTGAAGAAAAGTTTATCTAATCTTGAAAATTTGATTGTATCTTTAGTTAACAACATTAAAACTTTTTAAGTAATACTAATATCAGAAAAATTTATTTATGCATACATTTATCTCAACCCAATATCCAATAACCCTACACTTTAATTATTCTAAAAATATTTTATTTTTGCTAAAATTTATTTAAAATCTTCACAATCTGTAATATTAAGGAATTTGCAAATATTTTTTAGAGTTTTTTTTTACATATTAACTTATGTCACGAAAACGTTACTGTGACGAATTGATTTTATTCCCTTTTACTCCCTACTATTGATACACATCACCATTTCAGTTAATGAATATGTTCAATATAATTAAATATTCAGTTTATCAATTGAATTTGATAGTTATGCACTGTTATTTGTAAGAGAAAAATATTTGAAAATAAAACACGTCACGTATACGCCATGTAACACACACAAAATTTTTAATTGAAAAACATAAACCGTAAAAAATGTTGACATTTTTTTTAAAAAAGAATAGAATAAATGGAAATAAATTGTCAATGTTCACTAAATTTTATTGAATTTTTATGTTTTTCACTTTGTTTTGAATGTGAAAACTCTAAATTGTTTACAGTACAGTCAACGCTCGGTGATTAGTACACAATTCACCTGACATTGTAATCTATTTACAGATATCTAATGGCTAAAAGTGTATCGTTTACATTTACTTAAAATCAAGTACCATTTTCAATATGATATATATGTGTTAGAGATAGAAATAGACAGGGTACGAGCTCCCAAAAAAGTGGAACACTGTGACCATGGTTGATCTTTTGTGCTGCAACAGTCCAAAACCGAACAGAAGACATTCCGCCTTCCGAATGAAAGTCAAACTTTCATCCGTTATGGGCCTGCTAATGTCTGAACGGGAGCGTAGTTCTCTACCCTGTGACATCCTCTTATGTATTTTAACATCATTAATTTAATAATTTTTTATAAATGTTATGCTTGCCTGAATAAATCATTATCATAATTCAATCAAACACGTACTACAGTGGATTATCCAAGTAATCTCTACTGAGTAGAAATGCTTTAAACACTAACTCACATTTCATAAAGCAGAGAACATAAATTTTGTATCTATTTCTGTAAAAACACATTTCTTTTAACCTTAGTAGACTTTTTAAGTGCCATTAAATCACTTTAATTTGAGGAAACAAAATAATTACAATAAAATTTTAACAACTAAATAGTTTTTACAAATCTAGTGCCGTGTAGTAGTAATTCAATGAGGAAAATTAATCGAATTGTGCTAAAAAAATTATAAATAGCCTACCAGAGAACTAGAGAATGGGATCGTGTCCCTTATATCTTACTTAGCTTATATTAAGGTGATTTAACACCATCCGTGCGAGAGAATTCATAATACTAAACTCTTTAGATATAATTAAACTCTGTTCTGCTCTCACATAAATCTACTCCACAATACACCTCTATATTGTGCTATGCGGCTACCAAATTCATAGCCACTAGTTTATATTCTAGTATTGAAATATATTTCTCCAATGCAAGCTACACTTTACTAAAAAGGAAAGTCCTTATGTTTTGAGTTGAAAGACATGAAAGCGTAGAATACAGCGGACTGAAGAACAAGTAAAAATAATTTCATGGTAATAATTAAATAATGCACCACAATAGATTAGCCATTATTTTTGTTAATATTTTAATCTGTAATAACTACATGATAGCGTGGATGTAGGCATATTCATACAGCATGAAGATGTAAAAGATCATAGTATTCAAATAATAAATATTAGTATTTTACTTGGCAACCTAATCTCTTTTATCGGAAACCGCTGGAGTAAAAATGATGAAATGTGTAAATCTCATTCAAGTGTGCATAGCATCCAAAAATCTCATCCCGAATCAATTAAAAATACATTTCCAATCCAAATTTTATTCACTTTTATAGCTTGTCTGGCAGCTATGAATCTCTTAAATGCAACAAGTTTGGCTTGAAATCCCCAAACTTTTGGCTTTAGTAAGTTAAAATATTGTTCTAAATAATAATGACTTAAATAATATTTATCTATCTGCATACTATAGTACTTTGTATATCAGTAATACTTTTCCAAATACAAAAATTGCAGGGGTTACCTTTTAAGTTTATTATAGAAATCCACTTTTTCATGATGATCCTGACCTACAACATATATTTTTGAGACTCTCATCCTGTTCTACAAATTTTAGGTTCGTTATTGCATCTGTGTAAACAATGATTCATTCGCAGCGATTTCCGGGCAAATGAATGAGAAGTTCACACCAACGAAGTTTCACTGCATTTCCGTTTGGTGCAATTGTCAACTTTCGGGCAGGCAATTGCTCACTTGTCTGTTTGTTCAAATGCACATTTGCAAACACCCAGAAATTATGCGCCATGCTTGAATGGATTACCATACAATTTACAATGTGCAGTTTACGCTGTGCTGCACTTTCTCCCACTGAGCAAAAATAAAAAGCACAGTGAAAACTCACAAAAAAGCAAGAAATAACAAAACAAAAAGGACTTGAAAATATTAGCGCTATACAAAGAGCAGTGTAAAGGACAACTTAATCCTGAAGTGACATTAAAAAGTGAAAATGAATTAATTCCTCTTTTACTGCAGGCTCTCGCTGAGCCGGTACTAAGGCAGTAGTTGGTATGTGTGCATGACACTCGTGCTTGACTGTGCCAGGGTACTGCTTGGTGTAATATTAGGATGCACTTGGGTGTGAACTTTATGTTTATTTTTGAGATTTTTTTATCGTCGTTTTGGCTGTGTTCTTCCTTGTCAACCTCAAACAATTCGTCAACGAAGTTAAGATATAAAATTGTTACAGCAGCGAGAAAGTGACAAGTCCCCATGCCTATGCAAATATTTGCAACAACTCAACTGACCATTTCGTTGTTGATTTAATAGCATATCGACTAGAGGAAGCAGTGTCCCTGTAACTGGTGTAAATCAAGCTTAAGCGATTTCTAACAGAGGAAACATAAATTACAACTGAAGACAGAAAATAAACTGACTTACTGATATTGCAGCCACAGAGTGGAATTAGTATATTTTGACAGATTAATATTTTTTTTGGAATGCACTAATATTTTTATGCACTTACCTGACCATCATTGTCTTTGTCGGCTTTGGAGCGCAGCCCTTCCCAAATTTCTAGCATGACAGCATGAGTTTCCTTATTTTTTGGTGTGTCCTTTACCCAACCACGTAGCTGACAAACGCGCTGCATACATTAAAAAGCATTTTGGTTGCAATTATTTTTATTGTTTTGGAGCATTTGTTTGGAAGCAGTTTGGAAATTTTATGGTCAAGCATTAGCGGCATTACGACCAAAGTAGTCCAAGCATTGAAGTAAGTGCACAATAGAAAAAATTGTTATGGAAATTGCAAAAAATTAGAATGGAAATTAGAACAATTGAAAGAATAGATTTACAGAAGCAAAAGAAAAAAAAACTACTAAAAAAATTAAATAAAAATTGCAATATAAAACGGAATATATACAAAAAAATTAATGATGTATATAAAAAAATGCTTTGAAAATTTAAAAATATAACGTTAGCATAAAATTGTATTTAAAAAAATTTAAATTGTTAAAAATTAAAATTTATCACAGTAATTTGTATTATTATTACTATATTATCTTATAATAAACTAATTAATCAATTTGAAATAAAGAAAAGCTGGACCCGTTGTTGAAAAGTTAATTTGGGGTGCTAAAAACTCAAGCTAACAAGTATATCTCTATAATTTATAAGGAAATAAAATCCTACTAAACAGAACTAACTCCACTGGGATATTGAATATACTCGAATTAAGGCATATCTATAATAGAAGTCAACGTAAATCCATTAAGCAACATTCTATACTGTTACGGAGTATGACTGGAATCCAAGTGCCTATAGTTTTGTTTATTAGAGGCACTGGGTTGACTCCATACAGAAATCTTGTGCTGTGATTTATGCTGTCATCTGATGTACAATTGAATTTTATTAAAATGGCACTGAAACCCAAAAAAGAACAGAGGTTTCTTAACAGAGGTCTTAATTCTCAATAAGTAGGATGTTTTATCCAAAGATATAACTTTTATAGCTATCGGCAGAATATATTCCAATGGAATGTTTATTATGGTGTTAAGACAACACGGTGGGCAACCACTTAAAACAACTAATGAGCCATAAACCGATCTAATAAAAAAGTGGAAAAACTCGTAGCAGTGCTGGAAAACAATAAGCACCTATATCAAAACATTCGGTATCTCCTTCAACCAGAAATGAATAAGCTGCAAAGATGCGCAAAAAGGATCAGCTGACACATCCTTTGCAAATATCTTGCCATGGCAACATTGAGACATTCTTTTAAAAAGTGCAAGATATTATAATTCCTGCAAACATCCTAAATTTAAATCTTACCAAATTTAAAGTTTAACAATGAAAATTACCCATAGTTACCGGGTATGTGGTAACAAAAGGGGCAACTGAAAAGACAGTCTTTGTCTGCGTAACTGTTACTGTGTGAATATTTGAATCCTGTTTTTCTCCTAGATATTTGAGTAATTGGCAATAATAGATTAAAGTTAAATAATTTATGTTGGAAAGGGGTTTTAAAAACTTTTTTAGAGACGTTTCGATGAGTATCAAAAGTATGAAATGACTGATCATATAGACGTTTCAGATATTGCCAAATTCCCATCATCAGTAGTCTTGAAATTAATTCTTATATTTAATTAATTGTAAATAATTTTTTTGAGACTACAAGTACCAGTGGTTGAACTCGTGCCCTGTCAAATTTGAAACTCAGAGTCAGTACTTGACGCATTTTCCTGTTAAATTTGTTATGAAAGTTCACAAACAATTTCACTTGCTCAAAATTATATTATTAAAAACATAATAATATAAATGCTTATTAAAGAATTTAAAAATTTACTTGTAATTTACAGTTCCGTTAAAAAAATAATTTATATTAAATTGTGTTATAGTCATTGATTTAGTATAACATATTTTAATTTAGCCCGCAAAATATTTAAGGTAATACAAAAGGAAATAATGTAAATTATTATTATGTTTTAGGAAAAAATATTATAAATTATTTTCAACAATTATTTTATACATATAAATAAATAGAAATAAAAACAAATAAATTGATATAAAAAATAAAATAAATAAATGAAATAATGTATATTATTATATTTTATATCTTATATAATTTATGTTAATATATTATATGAAATAAGGTTTTAATAATTTTGTTATTCAATTAAAAAAAGTATTAGTATGATTATGATTTTAAAATATTTTAATTTTTTTTCTTATTTGTTTATTTACCTCAATGGCCAATTCAAAATCCTTCACATCAATTTCGCCGCTTTGATTCACATCTGTTTTTTTGATTGTTGTTGTTGTTGTTATTGTCATTGTTGTAGTTTTAATTGTTGTTTGTTGTTTTTATTATAAATTTGTTGAACCATCAAAATTCGGTCATCAAAATTCAAATGAAATGTCAACGAAAAATACCCAAAAATTTGTTGCAATTGTTGCGATGCCGCACATTTTCCATTCGGATTTCGTTTATTTAACAACGGAAAACATGGAAAATGTAAGTAAATTTAACAAAATCAGCAGAAGTTGGTAAAATTTCATTTAATTTCATTTTTTTTTGTTGCCACATTATTTATATATTTTTGAATTTTTGTATTTTGTTAGAATTTTTTTAAAGTTATGAACATTTTAACTGAATTTAGTGCACAGCTGTGAGCACTTCCGCTTTTAACAGGAAGTTGTTATGAATTTTATTTCAGAGTTGCCAATATGACAGATTGTTTCTATGCGTGATTATCACAAAACAAAACAAAAAATGGAATTTGTGGAAAAAATATGATGTGGTCATTACTACAAATGATTGATGTTCAACCAAATGGTTTTAAATTTTTTTTTGTGTGTGTAAAGTGCACACATAAAGTTGCAATAAATATTAAACTTATTATGAATAAAACCAATTTTGAAATTTAACTTACAAACTCTGAACAAACTATATTTAACCATAACTAACTATTTACTGATATATCAATTCGATTAAGTTTAATTAGAAAAATCGTTTATTTTTAACTATATTTAAAATAGAGATAGGATCATCAAACGGCATTGTAGATACAGTGTGGTTACGTTGATCTATCAAAAGCAAAATAAACTTAAAAAAAAAGAAAATACATAACACAAAAGTGGGGCATGTCTCAAATTAAAATTCAACATTTTTTTATAAAGCATAAGCCTTACTTGTAGTAAAGTAATACTATGTTTAGACACACCTTAATTTCGTAAAAATCTTAATTTTATCTTCGTTTCAGCGAAATTAAGTTACTCGTATTTTTTCCATACAAAAATCAGTTTTAAGGTTAGAACGATATTAAGGAAAATACCCTTAGTTTTATTGAAACAAAATTAACAGCCTTCAAGAAACGTACTAGTCAGCTACTTCAACTAAGACGGAACCTGATCAGCACCACGGTATCTGTACTGACGAGCTACTGCGAAATAGGAAAGAATGCTATGTGACTGTGTCTACCCTACAATGAATTTTCTCGTGGCTGTGGTTCTAAGGATGAGGAGACCGTGCTCCATCTCATGTGTCAGAGAGTTGTATACTGATGTTTCAATCTATGTAAATACCATAATGTGGTGCCATAATGAGCCATTATTTGAGCTTAAACAGGGCCACAACTCAAGGGTTTATGGAAACAAGGCCACAACTCCAATCTACCTAACAGCCTTTGAAAGTTAGATTACAACTCCAACAAGGCCGCAACTTCAACCTACCTACCTACATAACACCCTTTGAAAAAAGTTAGGTTAGGTTATACCGGCGATTCGCAGTGGATCCAATTACGCCTATTAGCCCATTGTGCTATCGTACATGTAGAAAAATACTCAGGAGTTAAAACCACCTGGAACATTTGGCGAAACGTAAAATGTTATTTAGTGTCAGGTCTTGTAAGTGATCAAGATCCTCAAGTAAGGGGGCTCCTAAAGTGTTGAGTCGCTTTCGAGCTCGAGCTGGGTAAAAACATAGTAGATGAGAGGCACTCTCATCGTCTTCCCCACAACTACGACAGGTTTAATTAAAAGGAAGATTTAATCTTCTAACATGGTTTCCTAGTTTGCAATGGCCTGTAAGTAAACCTATATCTTAGACCGATATCTCTACGGAGTATCTCAATAAGAATTTTGGATTTTCTTTTATTTTATCTTTTATTAAAAATTTTAGAGAGAGAAAGAACTCAGTAACAGTTTATATGACGTTAACTTGAAAAAAGTTGAAAGCAGTTAAATCAGTTCTCAATATGAATAATATTGATATAGAAATAATATTCTAGTTGAAAACACTAACTGGTACTGCCGTTCAAATAAGTTCAAGTCAATAGCACAATGCGTAATTGTGTAATTCCAATTATTCATTTCTATTTTGTTTACAATATAATCGAAGCAAGACAAAATAAATAATCTTCTTATAGTATTTTGGAACTGAATTGGATCAGTAAGATTTGTTTTCTCGTAATTTATTTAAACTATATATATTAAAAACAGTCGTTTCTATAAATAGACACATTCTCATTAAACCACAATTTGATATTTGGCAGCTCTAAATCAAATTCAGAATCAAGTATTCCTTTCGCATTATTCAATTTAACTCGTTATACTCACCAAAAAATACATTGAACAGGAACAAAAGTTTCTTCTTGCGGAAATCTGAGATCGACATTCTATCTTCCTTATTATTCGAAGAAAAGATACGTGCAAGAAGATTTGAAGTTTTCGCCTGCAAAAAAATAAATTTCGTTAAATTTCTCTATTAGTTTTTTTTTGTGAATTTTTTTATTGGCAAGGATTTTTCACTTGTGAGCAATAACTTGCAGTATTGAGTTTCCATATTCGAAAAATTTTCAAATTTTCCAATTTTTAAATTGATAAATTGCATTTTTGCATTTCAGCAGTTAAAGTTTTCTATGCCATAATTTTTTTAGAAATTTTGGAGGCAAACATTAAACCAAAGTCACGTTTCAGACTAAGTACCTTCGCACGAATTAACTACGAGAGCTTCACATGCTAGCAGCAACATCAAAGCAATGAAAGCCAGCAAGGATGTTTCAGTGCCTGCAGCCAGTTAGTAAGCAAGTAAGTAAGTAGTGCAGCAAAAGGCATAGATTGTCGCCGTGCAGTCGCTGCGCTGCCCTGCCGCTGCCGCAGCGGCATTTATGCATGCATTCCTAAGTTATTTCCTATTTAACTTGACATTACGAGACGAAATATGAAAGCAATCACAAGAGTAAAAAAAAATTTTTCTAATGCATTGTGAAATCAGAAAAAAGGAAAGGAAAGAATGTATGAAGCTAAAGGACCCAAAAGCTTTTTACTTTTATATTTCATGTGCAAATGTGTGCACTGAAATATACGTTTGTGCGTGTGTGCATGAGCTTATTTTACCTTCATTTATTCACACGCTCACAATACTATTTCCTTTCATACACAATTTTTTTATTTTTATTTATTTTTGCTTTCTGCTTTTGTTTCTCTTCTTTGTGAATTTTTTTATTAACAAAAACAAAAACACATAAAATTTTAAAGAAAGCACCTGGTTTGCTTAAAGGTTTATTCGTAAATGAAGGATGCAACAGTCTATGTTATATCTGCTACGAATTTCTTACTAAAGCAACATTGCAGCAGCAGCAAAAACAACAACGGCAGTAGCAACAGTAGCAACCTCGACAGCTGCAGTAGCAGTGCGAGTTTAATAGTTGCCGCTGTTGTGACTACAATAGCAGCAACGTATCTCGTCTTGAGGCTTTACGACATGCAAGCATGTTACCTTGCTCTATAGCTTATAATGTCTGAAAATTCCATATTGCTTTCTTCAACCAGATTTTTTTACTGTGTATATATTAGCAGTGTATTTTACTATTAAATGTTTACATTTTCCGTAAAACAGCAAGAATTTCCTTTCTTGAACATATTTTATTTTTGCTGTCGTTACTTTGTCTTGGATCCTTTATGCATTTTTTATCCTTTTAATGCATTTCAAAAGCAAATTGTCTACAAAATTGTTCTAGACTCTTTGGCAGTATTTGATGTGAATGAAATTTTTATTAATTTTTCAAGGAAATTACAACTAAAATTGTTTTTCTTTGATTCTATCTTAAATGTTGTAAATATTTGACTAGCACCATGATGTCTGTAAGTATTATGATCAAATAATATAAAAATTATTTACAATTTGCTCATATATTAAAGCAGTTATGTACCCTGCTTTCTGTCAATTCCTGCTCTATTCTCTAAAAATGATTGTGCTTTATCGATATCGATAGATTCCTTTATATATTTCACACTATGCAGAATTAGTTACGACCATGAGTATTGAGTATTGAGGTAGCTAGCATGTTGGATAGAAGTGTAAACTAATAGTCTGCTTGGAATGGTTTTTGTAGGCTTCCAAAAATTTCATATTTTGATAATGAAATAGAAGTCCACAACTTTGATGAACTTGTATCTCATCATTACTAACGAAATATATGTACAGCAAAAATTTGACATGTCTTTTTTATTCTTCACATCTAATATCTGTCGTTTGCAAGAACCTTTTAATTTCTCGATTTACTTCTGGGCTAACAGCACATCTTCATTGGAAGATGGACTCGTCATTACTCATCAAATACTTATTAGAAATATGATATATGTATCTTTTTAATATTTCACGTTTAATATCTGTCGTATATAAACACTTTTTAAGCGTACCGTTTGAAAGTTTAAAGTCGTATCCAACGTAATGATTGGGTCTTATCAACACACATTTCTCCACAAATTTTCTAAGGAGAGTTTTATGCTAATGCTGGAATAATCGGTGTAGTTTAATGCAAATCTCCTTTCATCTGTAAAAAAGCAACTTCCATTTATCCTTTGTTTCTAATTCAATCTCGTAAATGCAATAAAATGTTTCTATTACATTGTTATGTGCTATGGTACATTTATTTAAACCAATTTTAATGAAATCGGAATGTGCTATTCGTCAAACTTAAACCAAAATATTGATGCAATTGTGGATAATGCTACAGTGAATCTAATTTCATTCTCATATCTAATTTCGACGAGTATAAAATTGAGGGCAAAAGTTTATCTTTACCACTCTGTGCATAACTAGGAAAAAATTTTGAACAAGTTTATGCCATAAAGAGATTATTTAAACTAATAATGGGACAAACAAACAGAAATTGACTTTCATATATATGTAGATTTGTTTATGTAATTCTTTTTAATTATTTTTAGTTAAGGTGGAAGCATTCTATAATATTTGTAAACATCTTCTGTGTATCAATTTCTAATTTTATTAATAATCGTCATTTATACGCCATGTTTAACGGTTTACCTATCATTTGACCAAGTAAGCTGCTACACTTAAACCTTAATTAATTATTAAAGATTTTTTACAGTAAAAAAGAAAATATTTATGCCATATTATATAGCCTGTATACACACTATCATTATCGTCAACATCAATGTAACACATTACGTTGCATATTCATTTAATATGCTATAGAACTTTTATTAGGATTTTTTAATGCCACAAAACCATTACAATTGCAAAAATATTATTAAACAAACATAAATGTTTATAGTGAAATTACCAATAAAATGCAGACATTTATATGCATCATTTATATTCTGCATTCAAGGCATTGGATGCTGTGCTCCACAAAGGACACAGTTGCAGTTGCCTTGTAGGTGTGCCGTTCATATGCCGAGAAAACACATAAAAATTTGGTGAATATTTTAATCTTTTTTTGTACTCGGCTTTTTCAATTATACTAGGATTTGTGCAATGCAAAATAAATGTATGAATTATTTAATAATTTTGATGCAATTTTATAATTTTGCGAACGTTTCAGTACACAGATGAATAAAATGCCAGTAAATTTTCGAAAAATAAGTGATTTTAAAATGTTTCGCATACATGAAGTCATTAAATTAAGCATAAATGCAGTCAATTTTGTGGTTTAATTGATTTTTCGTTATAATAGCATTAAATTTTTAATATAGCAGATCTCTTTTAAT